AGTAGAGAGTCTGGAAAGAGGGAGGTGACGGTTTTGTGGAGTTCCACCTCTGGAAGGACGGGCTGCTTAGTCCAATCATACTGCGTGTCTATCTGAGCGATCTTTATTCAATGACCGTCTGCAAGCGGTGGCACTGCCTTCGGGATGAGGAAGGGAGGAGCAGGATTTGGGGAGTTGGTTCTCAGAAGCCTGGGGAACATCTGGATGCACAAGCCTAGCGTTGAGGGGAAAGGAGACCTCCAGAGACAAGTGCCATCTCAGCCCTTGGCTCCACCTGCAGCATGACAGCACCCTGCTGGCCCTCCAGGGGGCCCTGGGCCTCTATGATGGACACACCCCCCCGTACGCTGCCTGCCTTGGCTTTGAGTTCCGGAGGCGCCTGGGGGATCCTGACGAAGATGGAGGGTGAGGACGGGGTGGTGCCAGGGAGACGGGTGGGAAAGAACCCTCAAAGCAAGGGGTGAAGTTCAAGGCAGAGGGCATGGCCGGCAGGGAATTGCGTGGCATGGTGCTGGGATGAAGGCAGATGGGAGTCAGCAGCCCGTTTCTGTTTTAAGGTCAGTGACAGGGAAAGGGAGGAGGTGCCACTGTGTCCTCTCTCTCCAGGAATGTCACCATCTCTCTATTCTACCGCAACGACTCTGCCCACCGGCCCCTGCCTCTCAGCCTCCCTGGGTGCCCGGTCCCCTGTCCACTAGGCCGCTTCCACCAGCTGACTGCCCCGGCCCGGCCTCCGGCCCATGGGGTCTCCTGCCATGGCCCCTATGAGGCTGCCATTCCCCCAGGTGACAGTCCTCTGTGCTGGGGTGGGAGTGGAGCGTCCCAAGTCCTGCCAACTCACACCCATGTTCTCCCTGCAGCCCCAGTGGTGCCCCTGCTGGCCGGAGCTGTGGCTGTGCTGGTGGCACTCAGCTTGGGGCTGGGCCTGCTGGCCTGGAGACCAGGATGCCTGCGGGCCTTCGGGGGGCCTGTGTGAGTCAGAAAGCAGGACTTCCCTATCCCCAGCTGACACTGGACCCCAACATGTGTGCTCACTCGATGCTCTGACTTCTGTGACTTACTGTGCGCCTGTGTGCATGGGGAACAAGGGCTGGGTGGGTTCTCTGGCCTGAAAACCAGTGTGTGCATGTGTCTTGTGACAGTGGCATGAGTGTTCACACGTCACATGCATGAAGTTTCTACACAGAGTGCATGCACAGGTGGTGTGTCTGTGGCACACGTTCAGGCACAGATGCGCGCTATCTGAGTAGGTGGGAACATGGACCGGCAGGCAGGCCTGCATGCACTTGTTTTGGTAGAAACACGGTCTTGGTGGCCCAGGCTGGAGTGCAGCGGCATGAGTATAGCTCACTGCAGTTTTGAACTGGTCTCCAGTGACCTTGTTTCAACCTCTACAGGCGCGCATCACGCCCGGCTAAATTTGTTTTTAGTATGTTGGTCAGGCTGGTCTCAAATTCCTGGCTCAAGCAATCCCCCTCCTCCCAAAGCCCTGGATTACAGGTGTGAGCTACAGCGTTCAGCTGGCTTGTTTATGCAGGTTTCCATGCAAGCATGGGCGCAGGTGGGTATTTGAGGACATGGTGGGCTCTGTATGCACTTCCGCACAGCTCGTGTGGCAAGAGCTTGCTCAGCGAGCCTTGATGTGGGCAACGTGCTCTGCAGAGATCGGGCTCACAGGAGTTGGACCCTCAAGTCTGGTTCTTTGGTGACCCTGAATAGCTGTCGATGCAACCATGAACCTGGGTGGGGTGGGGGGATCTGGCAGCAGAGAGCTCAGAAAGGTGTATGATTCTAAGCCTGGTTTTGCAGCTGGCACCAATTCTAAGGCTGTGTGACTCTGGGCAAGTGACAGGCCTCTCAATGTCTCATTTGGCAGAACCACGACTCTTAACCCTATGGACTCCACAACTCCCAAAATTAACTTTCTGGAGGCCAGCAGAGAGCAGGGAAAACCGGTGACACTCTGGGCTGTGTGCCATGACTTGTGCTGCAAGAGATGTGAAGGCACAAGCCAATATAGTATCCATGACCATATGTAGCCATTTACATTTAGATTAAATAGCTATCCAGTCCCAACTGTCGCATGGGCCATGCATTCACCACTGCATTTATCAGATGCTCATCAGTTGCCCCCCCCCTCCACTCATGCGGCAGCAGCCACTGTAGACCACCTGCACTGTGGTCCTTTTAAGCCCCCTGGCCCCAGGAAGGGAGGCTGTCCCCTAGCATGGCCTGGGGCAGTGCCAGCCCCTCCCAGGCCTTGCCCCACACCCATCGTTGCATGGCACTAACCAAGGCAGGTGCAGTGGAGCCCAGGTGCAGTGGACACTCAGGAACAGCCACTTGGCCCGTTAAATGGGGCGGTAGGAGGTTCAAAGCCATTCCCAGTAACCAGGACCTAAACAAGGCACAGGGTCCAGAAAGGCTGGGACTACCTCTTCGCCACACCAGGGCCACCTGCATACTCCCCTGGCCCATTTCTTCCCAGGGTCCTGAAAGCAGCCTGTCACACACTCACCCCTAAGGGGCCCCCAGATCTCCCTCACTGCCCTGCCCAGCATTCCCTAGAGGGGCTGCGTGGTCACAGGGCCCCCCAAGTGGATGTCAGGGACCCTGACCCCAGAAACCCTGAGGAATGAATGTCCCTCATGCTTTCTGGCCCTGGGAGGGTGCCTGCCTGCTTCCTTGCAGGTTCATGGAGACCCAAAGTGCCAGGCAGGGCTACCTGTGGTTGTAACCAACTCCTACCTGGTGGCAAGTGCCACCCCTTTCCCAGCAGCCTGCTGGAAGGGCCTGTATGCATCCCCCCAGCCCCGCCATAGACCCAGCTTATGACCTGAGACCACAGTGTTAAGCACTACAGTTGGGAGTGGTATGTGTTGTTTAATGGGCCTGTACCCAAGACCCCAGCTATGAAGCCAGAACTGCCAGGGCTCAGTGTGTCCTCACATAACTGTCACCTGTGATCCCGGCCCCAACACACCCTAAACAGACTCAGAACTCAGACAAGCCACAGAGTCAAACCCGAGCTATCAGAAGGGACTGTCTGCCCACAGCCAAAGCATGTTTCAGAAAGAAAGGAATGGCAACAAGAGAGGCTTTAAGAGAAAACCCGTGATAGGCTGGGCACAGTGGCTCACGCCTGTAATGCCAGCACTGTCAGAGGCTGAGGGGGGTGAATCACCTGAGGTCAGGAGTTTAAGACCAGCCTAGACAACATTGGTGAAACCCTGTCTCTACCAAAAAATACAAAATTAGCCAGGTGTAGTATCGGGTGCCTGTAATCCCAGGTACTCAGAGGCTGAGACAGGAGAATCACCTAAACAGAGCAGGTGGAGACTGCAGTAAGCTGAGGTCGCACCACTGCACTTGAGCCTGGGCAACAAACAAAACAAACCTTATGAAAACTGAGAAAAAGCTTGAAGATGCTTTCATCATGGGTGTGGGGTCTCCCTGCTTGGCCTGGAGTGCTTTGGGGACCCATGTGACAGAGGCAGGCACCCACTGTGCACACCTACCCTGCTGCCTGGGCAGAAATGTAACATAGCACGTGATCACCCCCGCCAGGGACTCATGGTGTCTACTCACAAGGCCTGCTCCCCTCGTGGTTTGGCCAGTGACACCCACAGGGGAGGGCTGGGGGCAGATACCCTTCTCTTCCGGGGCCCTTGAACACGGTGTCAGGCTGTGGCTTGCTCAAGGGACACTGAAGGGCTACACAGGGAGGGTAGTGGCCAACGCTTTTTGCCTCCCCTACCATGTCCCCTGCTTCCTGATTGCAGCTCACACCAGGAGCAGCTCCCCCAGAACCCAGGCTCCCTGCTTTACCCCTGCAGCACCAGACCGGGTGGTGTCTGCCCTCCAGAGCCAGGCCCAGGGCTGGCTGTGGTGTATGGGCAGATACTCCCTACAGGTCTGGTCAGAATAGGGGAGCAGTGGCGGCTCCTTCCCCGGCTTATCCACCTTCTCCTGGGCTCGCGGCTCAGCAGCCAGGTCCTGGTGAGCTGGGTTGGGTCCTAGTGTGAGCTTAGTGGCCTGGCTGGCCCTGGCAATGGAGATGAGCCTGCTGTTGGCGATGGTCTGGATCTCCAGAACAGCCTCCAGCACCATCATGCCCTTGACCAGCAGGCGCTGGCGCAGGCCCTGGGTAACAGGCATGTCCTTGGGCATCACTGGCTCAGGAGCAGAGGACAAGCAGGGAGAGGAAGCTGGATGCCCCTGTCCTTGGTGGGTTGGGGCTGGAAGGGCAGCTCAGTGGCCTCAAAGTGCAGGGAGGTCTCCCAGCTGGCACCAGGCTATCAGCAGCCAGGTAAGCATTGCGGTGCCACTATCGCCTTCAGGGCCTTGCAGTGGTGGCTGAAGATGACACCGTTGTCAGGTTGGATCAGGTCACCCGGCAGCAGCAGGAGCTCTCAAGAGCTGAGGCACAAGGCAGGGCTCCCAGATATACACTGGCAGGACCCAGGAGAGCTGGCTACAGTTCTGCCCCAAGTGCCGAGAGAGCCAGGAGCTCCGTGTCCTGCAGCACGAGCAGAACCAGCTCCGGCCCAGGTGGGTGGACGCCAGTACATTCCTAGTCATGGCTGCAGCCATGCTTAGGCAGGAAGCAGCAGAGAGCCTGGAGGGATGCTGTCAGGTGAAGGACACAGAAAAGGCACTGAGCGGGGCAACAGCCACATCCCACCCATCACCTCCTGGAGTAGGGTCCCTCAGACCCCCGGGTGTCAAAGGTCCCGGGGGGGCACCATGTCCTCAGGGGCAGTCAGAGCCCAGTGCTGGACATCATGGGGTTCCCAAGTACAGCCCTTTCAAGAACACTGACACTGGACATCTCACTGCAACCCAGCCCCAATCCCCATCCCAACCCGCCTACAACAGGGTTACTAAGGTTAACGAGCCCAGTGCTTAGGGCAGCACCTGGCTCAGCACTTGCTGGGCATTTATCTACGTCTGCCTTCTCACCATCACCACGAATAACAAGCAGCCCCCTCCGTTCTTACCAAGTGACGGTCGGGCCCTTCAGCACCTGGAGGCAGGAGGGCAGAAAGAAGGGAGGTCAGTGGGGTACGGGGCAACCAAGATACCCCTCATCCCTCCCTAGAGCCAGAGCCTCTCAGAGCCCCGGGTGTCAAAGGTCCCGGGGGGCACCATGTCCTCAGTGGCAATCGGAGCCCAGTGCTGGACATCATGGAGGCCCCGGTGCCCTCAGCGCCCTCCTGATGCGGGTTCCAGGGCCACCTGCTGTCCTGAGGGGGACATCACGGAAGAGTGCTGAGATCAGGCAACAAAGTGAATGATACTTGGTCCTGAGGGTGCCAGGCCACCCCCGTCCAGCTCAGCCTGGGTGTGGCTCCTTGTATGATCTAAGCCCACTGACCTCACCACCCCCGCCCCCCCAGCGGTGTTTCTCTGGAAGATGGGACTAGAGATGCCTGCAGACAGGCGCATCTGTGGGGTTCAGTGAGAGCAGGAGGTCAAACCCTTCTGCTTGGGCCTTCTGTGCCCTAATGGGACACCCCTCCATTGTCTCTGCCTGCATCTCAGGTCTGCTGCCCTGACCCAGCTCTTCCAAGCTGCTCTGACTTCACTGGAACCTTCTGCGACATGGGGAAGGGGCAGCTGCCTCTCACCGGGACCCTGGCAGGACCTGTTCAGTTGATTCTCTGCGAGCACCAACACCGTGGGTGCTCCTTCAGCGCCAGCTGCTAACAGCGACAGAAACACTCCCTTTTGCATAGAAAGTACTGTCCAAAAAGAGGGCCCTTGTTTAAACTAACCGAGAAGAATTAAAAACCCAGCTCCCAGTCACAAACTGGCCACATGCCATGTGTCCAAGAGCCACCTGTGGCCAGTGGCAGCCAGACTAGACAAGGCGCAGAACATTTCCATCTGACGGTCCTATGGAGGGTGCTGGTGTAGAATCCAGAGGCTACACGTCCTGTCTTTCTTATCCCATGCCAGCTCGCTCTTCTCACCTCTCTCACATCGCTACCCAACTGGCACCCATCCCACTCATGTCCCCTCTAAGCCAGCCATGACAAATGCTCAGCCCCATTCACTATCCCAGAGGATTAAGAGCACAGGACCCTCAGAAAGGTACTCGGGAGAGCTGAAATCCCAGCCAACCCTCCTCAGAAGCCAGCTTCTTTGACAAAAACAGCTGAAAGCTCCCAGAACCCAGAGAACACACCTCAGTTCTCTGTTACTGCAGTCACTCTTCTCCCAGCTCCTGACATCTAAGAAACAACTGAAAACCCTCCCAGAGCTGAGAACACCTCTTTTCTGGTAAAACACACCGCACTCCAACACTTTTCTAATGACTTTGCTCTTTGAAACAATTCTGATAACGCCTGTTCATCTTTATTGTGAAAATAAGGATTCCTTGAATTGTATCAGTTCATATACAAACACTAGGACTAAGCTTTGCTTAACGCACATCGCATTCAGCCTACAAAACCCATGATGCGATGTGACAGGATCACCTGAGTCACTGTTTGCCACTGCTGAGTTTTGACATGTTTCTGATTAGTCCTTTCCCCTGAAACAAATACCTTTTTCCTTCAGTCCATGCATTCCTCTTCTTACTGAAGCCCTACCTCTGGAAGACAGAAAGCGACACTGCCCTGGGCCATCTGCTCAGTGCCTGTTCCATAGACACAGCAGTGAGGCAAAGGAACGGTGGCCTGCTGAAAGTCTCCAAGCCTGCTGGGATTTGGACCCAGGCTTGCCTGTCTGCCTAGTTTTCCACAGCTATAAGAATTTTTTTTTTTTTTTTTGAGATGGAATTTCATTCTTGTTGCCTAGGCTGGAGTGCAATGGCACGATCTCAGCTCACTGCAACCTCCACCTCCTGGATTCGAGGGATTCTCCTGCCTCAGCTTCCTGAGTAGCTGGGATTACAGGTATGTGCCCACCATGTCCAGCTAACTTTCTGTATTTTTCGTAGAGACAAGTTTTCACAATGTTGGCCAGGCTGGTCTTGAATTCCTAACCTCAGGTGATCTACCCACCTTGGCCTCCCAAAGTGCTGCGATTATAGGTTGGAGCCACCACACCCAGCCTGACATGCCTTTTGTATGTAAACCCTGAGAACAATTGTTGGCACACAAATCAGTCCCTAGAGGTACCGCATGAAGTCAACCTAGACCAGGGGTCCCCAAACTTTTTCCACAGGGGGCCAGTTCACTGTCCCTCAGACCGTTCGTTGGAGGGCTGGACTATAAAAAAAAAACTATGAACAAATCCCTATGCACACTGCACATATCTTAAAGTAAAAAAACAAAACGGGAACAAATACAATATTTAAAATAAAGAACAAGTAAATTTAAATCAACAAACTGACCAGTATTTCAATGGGAACTATGGACCTGCTTTTGGCTAATGAGATGGTCAATGTCCGGTTCCATATTTGTCGCTGCTAGCCATAAGAAGTGATGCAAGTGTACATCAGTTAGTCTAGATCTGGTTGGAGATTTCAGATGTTTCATTCTGGAAAAAGTCTGTTCACAGACATAAGTGCTGCCAAAGATGCTTGCCATTTTGAGTGCACGGTTCCTGATATTAGGATATGTCTCAGAGGGGAGAGATGCATAGAAATTAGGCAAGCTGCTTGACTTGAATGTGTCTTTCAGAGAGTCACAATTCTGCAGTTCAGCCAGTTCCATTTGGTAAATTGTATCCACATTTTCAATGTCAATAGAAAATGGGTTATGGAAAAGCTGTATGTCCTGTTCATGGAGATGAAGCTCTTTAAATCCTGAATTGGAACTCCTTTTACAACTTTTCCAGTGAATCCACACGTTTCTTTTGGGAATGCAATTAAGGGTTTTTCCGCTAACAGATTTTGAGTTAAGGAGAGATAGCAGAAATTTTCCTCCTTTACTTGTTTGATAAGGAGGCCTAATTTTTTTTTTTTTTTGAGACAGAGTTTCGCTCTTGTTACCCAGACTGGAGTGCAGTGGCGCGATCTCGGCTCACTGCAACCTCTGCCTCCTGAGTTCAAGCAATTCTCCTGCCTCAGCCTCCCAAGTAGCGGGGACTACAGGCGCGTGCCACCATGCCCAGCTAATTTTTTTATTTTTAGTAGAGACAGGGTTTCACCATGTTGACCAGGATGGTCTCGATCTCTTGACCTCGTGACCCACCCACCTTGGCCTCCCAAAGTGCTGGGATTATAGGCGTGAGCCACCACGCCCGGACGAGGCAGCCTAATTTTACTTCAAATGCTTTCACATGTGATTGCATAGCACAGATAAGCTTCCCTTTTCCTTGAAGTTGCACATTGAAACTGTTGAGTAGATCTGTTACATCTGTCAGAAAGGTGAGGTGCCATTTCCATTCTGCATCATTGAGCTCTGGTACTTCTTTGTTTTTTGAAAGCATAAAAGCTCTAATCTGTGGAAGTAAGTCACAGAAATGTCTCAAAACTCTCCCTCAACTCAGCCAATGGACTTCTGTGTGGTACAGAACATCTTCATAGGCAACATTTAGCTCAGACAGAAATTCCTGAAATTGTCTGCGGTTTACTGCATTAGCTCTAATGAAGTTAACACAAGATACCACAATTTTCATAACAGAGTCCCACTTCAGTGATTTACTACATAGTGCTTGTTGGTAGATGAGGCAGTGTATGGCTATTGGATGAGAATGGTTACGTTTGCCCATCTCATGGTTAATGCAAGCAGTTACTCCTTTCTTAGACCCCACCATGCTAGGAGCACCATCAGTTGTGACACTGGCTAGTTTAGCCCAGTCCAGCTCCAAATCCTTCACAGTTTGGGAAACCTTTTCATAGATATCCTCTCCTGTAGTTGTTCCTTTGACGCTTTGCAGTGCAGCAAGCTCTTCTGTGACTTTGAAACTGTCATTCGTCCCACGAATAAAAATTACAAGTTGTGCAGAATCACGAACAACATTGCTCTCGTCGAGTGCCAAGGAAAAACAGGAAAGTTTTCTTGCCGAGTTTTGCAAAGGCTGATGCAAATTGTCTCCCATGGCTTCAATCCTTCGTTTAATTGTAGATCCTGAAAGACTTAACTGTACTAAATAAGTCTGCCTTTTCTGGACACATCTCTTTGGCAACAGAAAGAAGGCACTCTTTAACAAATTCTCCCTCCACGAATGGTCTGCCAGTGCACGCTATTAGCTTGGCAACTTGAAAACTTGCTCGCAGTGATGAAATATTTAGCTGCTTCTGCTTCACAAAAGTACTTCGCTTAGTTGTCAATGTATTTTTCAGTTTTAATATTTTATCTTTTCTCACATCTCCGATCATATTTATCTTTACGCTGAGTTTGACAGTGTTGACGCAAACTGTATTCTTTGAACATATAGTGTCTATTCTGGCATATCAAACAAACAGCTCCTTCCCTGTACTGCATGAAAAAGTAATCATAAGTCCACTGTTCTTTGAATACCCTACACTCCAAGTGAATTTTTCTCTTTCTTGACATCATTGTTTTCTAGGGAATCCCAAATTGCTATTAGTAAAATACCAATAGATACAGCCCTATAAAATATTGGTATAAAATACCAATACAGCCCTATAAAAACAATATACCAACAATAATTTTGCCCACACAGAGGCATACAGACTGCACTGCCCATCAATGTAGCCTTCCCAGTCCACATCACTTCAGCCCCACCAGGGCCATATTGGTGGAACTCCACTTTTACCGGAGACCGGATGTGCGTCCTATGACGTGCTTCCGGAGCCGTGACGCGTGTGTCTCACGTCACCGGAAGTAGTACTGTAGTGAGCGACGCTGCGCTTTGCGGTGCCGCCACATCCTGTGCTCCTCTCACTGACCACCAATGAAAGAGGTGCCCCTTCCTGAAGTGTGGTGGGGGCCGGATAAATGGCCGCAGGGGGCCGCATGCGGCCCGCGAGCCATAGTTTGGGGACCCCTGACCTAGACAGTGAGATATTTCAAACCAGGTGAATCAAGGAGCAGGAGCAAGGTTCTTACCTCGCTGGACACGGTGGGTGGTCCTCAGCTGGAAGCCGCACCTGTAACAGAGAGACAGTGAGGCTGGGGAAGGAACAGTCTGCGGGTCCACGAGCCATTAAAACTGGGGCCCCTCAGACCCCCAGGTGTCAAAGGTCCTGGGGTGCACTGTGTCCTCAGGGATGATCGGAGCCCAGTGCTGGACATCATGGGAGCCCCAGACCCTCTGCAACCAGGCCTGAGGTGACTTACCTTCAGGGACAGAGGCTGAGCTTAAAGGGTAGGAAACCCAAAACCCATCCAGAAGGTAAGAAGGACCACTTTTGCTCATGGAGACACCAAGATGCCCCAACCTCCCATGTCACAGGTCCTCAGGGGATGGGTAGGACCCCAAACGCACTACATGAAGATGTCCCCAGTGTCCGCCCGCTACCCTTTGCAGATTTCTGTAGCCCTGGCTATACCTGCTGGTAACCCATAAACAAGGAAAGCTGCCAAGACAGAAATCGCTTGGATGAACTTACTGAGAGAAGGGAGGAGGAAGGGGCTATGCTAGCAAGAAACGAAGCCAACTTGTAAGAAGTAATGAGCGGAGACCCTGGACTGGGTCAGGTTTAAACATATCAGACGTGAAAGACATTTGGAAGAAGACCCAGAAACAGGCACAAAGCAGACTGTTAAACTGCAGTACTAAGGAACTGATGTCATTAAGGGTGACAGTGGAAATAACATTTAGTACAATAACGTCCTTTTAGGTAAACAAGTATACTATTTTGGGTGAAGTATGTAAGACAAGAGTCTGTTCTGCTGCCCACGCTGCAGTGCAGTGGCGCAACCTCGGTTCACTGCGACCTCCGCCTCCTAGGCTTAGACGATCCTCCCACTCCCTCCCCAAGGAGCTGGGACTACAGACCTGCACCACCACACCAGCTCACTTTCTCTTTTGTAGAGATGGGGTTTTGCCATGTGGCCAAGGCTGGTCTCGATGTCTTGGGTTCAAGTGATCCACCCACCTCGGTCTCCCAAAGTGCCGGAATTATAGGCGTGAACCACCACAATGGGCCACAAGACTTCCTTTCAGAACACTAAGTGCACACACAGTTTTTAAATACGGCAAGATGGTGCAAATGTTAAACTTCCCCATTTGTTTGTAGATTGTAATATTGCCAAAGGAGGGCATGCCAATGATGAACGCATGAGAAAAATACCTTGGCTTGTGACATGAACAAACTTCGCTTGTGACATGAAAATCAATGATTTTCTCAGCGGTTACCCGAAGGAGGGAAGTCAAGTAGAGATCCTTGCTGGGTTGTAGCGGGGGAGACAGGAAATTGGCTAGCTGCTTCCAGGCGGGGCCCCACTCAAGTCAAGAAACTGACACTCAAGACCTCCAAGGACCTCAGCCAAAAACTAATGTTAACAAAACCTTCTCATGGGTCAGAATGACTCCTGCAGGTAAGCAAAGGCCTTGTCTGCTTTCTTCTAAGTCCATTCCTACATGGTTCTCAAAAAAAACCCCAGCAATTCAACTACAAACTGTTAAGGCCAGCAGACAGAAAGGCAAGCAAGTTTATTGACCTGCCAGGCTGCTCCTTAAGAGTCAGAGGCGGCAGCCCTGAGCTCACAAAATGAGGTTTATAAGGGCAAGAGAGGCCTAAGGGAGTATCTGGGTGTGACCACATCTCCAAGTTGTCAGTTAATCCTGTCACATTATCATCTCTCGACAGGCTTACAATACCTTGTGAAAACAAGAATTTACCAGAACATACAACTTAGGTTTGATCAGGTTTCTCATAACCTCCCCCGTGCCGCCCAGATGGCTGTAATCGGGGCTTACTCAATGTTAACAGGTCTGGTGACCTTGCTGCAGTGCCTAGATAAGAATTTAAGAATGCAGCCGGGCACGGTGGCTCAAGCCTGTAATACCAGCACTTTAGGAGGCCGAGGCCAGTGGATCACAAGGTCAAGAGATCGAGACCATCCTGGTCAACATAGTGAAACCCTGTCTCTACTAAAAATACAAAAAATTAGCTGGGCATGGTGGCACGTGCCTGTAATCCCAGCTACTCAGGAGGCTGAGGCAGGAGAACTGCCTGAACTCAGGAGGCGGAGGTTGCGGTGAGCCGAGATCGCGCCATTGCACTCCAGCCTGGGTAACAAGAGCGAAACTCCGTCTCAAAAAAAAAAAAAAAAAAAGAATTTAGGAATGCAGCTGCAGAGCCTTCAGGGGGTCAGCTGCACCCGGGAGTTTCCTGAGGCAGCTTTTCCCTAACAATCCAGCCTAGCTACTGAAAGAATTAGGAACTTGAGGAAGAATCGGAGTGTGGGAAGGTGGCCTCTTCTAGAGGGTCTATGAGGTGGCTGATGGCATCCCATGGATAGTCAAATTCTTCTTGTAGATGAGCAAGGTAAAGCTGGTTTAAGACTTTTCTTCGTGTGGAAATGGGGAGAGAGAAGAGGACCTCTCGTATTTGACAGGTTACGGGGGAGGCTGTTCCTCGTCACAAGGACCCTGGCATCCGCAATAAGAACAGTGGTGATATTTATGAAGGAGTCACCGCTCATGGGTCTTCTTCGGGGACAGGTTAAGGCAGAGTTTGGTGGGGCCAAGGAGGGTGCTAGAGAATCGGCGGAGGATGGTCGGTTGTAGGAGCCTTTTAGTCTGGAAAGATGGTACCAAGAGGCATGTCCTGAGAGTCCGGCTGTGGTGGGGGTTCTAAGAGTAACTTGAAAAGGGCCTTCCCACTTTGGTTTAAGGCTTGCTGGGTTAAGAGTTTTTAGGAAGACATGCTCTCCTGGTAGGAGAGTCTGGCTGGTGGGATTTCCTCTGTGGGATTTTGGGAGGGCACGGTCTGCTTGTTCGTGGAGGAGATGGCAGATGAGGATAATGTTGGGAGGACTCTCCTAGCTGAGTTAGAAGGGGCCTGTTTTGTAGGAGGAAAGGGAGTCCATATATTAACTCAAATGGGCTGAGGAAGGAGGTTGCTGTCGCGCTGGCTCTGACGCAGGCTAGGAGTATGGGCAGAAGGGAGGTCTGAGGTTGCTGGACTTCAAGAGCAAGTTTGATTCACTGAGTCTTAAGGATCCCATTTGCCCTTTCAACTTTTCCTGATGACTGGGGTCGGTCTGGGATATGGAGGTGCCACTGGATGCTGAGGGACTGAGACTTGTTGGGTGATTTGGGAGACAAAGCTAGGGCCGTTGTCTGTGTGGAGCGCAGAAGACCAAATGTAGGGATGATTTCTGTTAAAAGGATTGGGGAGACTTCTGCAGCTTTTTCTGAGGTGGGAAATGCTTCTACCCACCCAGAGAAGGTGTCTTGTAAGAGTAAGAAGAAACTTAGTTTTCTTGACAGGAGGCATGTGGGTAAAGTCTATTTACCAGTCTTCCCTGGGAGTGTTCCTCTTAGCTGACGTGTAGGGAGAGGAGGACAGCAGAGGGCCCCTTGAGAGGAAGTGACAGAGCATACATGACAGTTTGAGGTTCTGTCCTTGAGTGAGATAAACAGGTGGGGGGAAGAGAAGGGTGAAGGAGAAGGTACAGGGGGCGTGTACCGATATGGAAGGACTGATGAAGAGATGTTAGAATTTCTTTGGCTTGCTCTTGAGGCAGGATGAGTTTTTGATCTTTGACTATCCAGTTCCTTGGTCAGCCTTTCTGTTCCCTCCTGAATTTTCATCTGATCCTGTTTGATGTCCTTGACAATAAGTAACTCCTGCTTTAACTGTGCAGCCTGAAGGAGTTGGTAAATAAGGGGGCCATTAGTGATGGGGGTCCCTTTGGCAGTAAGAAGCCCTCTTTCTTGCCAGATGACGGCATGAAATTAAGAATGTGATGGGCATTTGGAGACTCGTTTGCCTTTGGAAAGGGTTAGGGCCCTGGTGAGAACCATGAGTTACGCCTTTTGGAAGAGCAGCCATCTATAAATAACTGGTCATCAGAATTAGGGAGGGGTTCAGGGGAGATATTAGGGAAACAAGGCTGTAGGTGATCAAGGATTTTGGTACAGGAATGGGTGGGAGGAGAAGATGATACTGGGAGCAGAGATGCAGGTTTGAGGGGAGCACTTTTGGAGAGGTGGAACTCAGAGTTTTCAAGAATGGTAGGCGAAAGGGTACTCAGTGCTTGGGAGGAGAGGAGATCCTGTAGATCATGTGGGCTGTGAACGGATGTCTTGATCGAATGTTATTTTTTTGTTTTCTGGTGCTAGGGTGGCGGCTGCTGCTAGAGCTCCGAAGCAGAGCAGCCATCCTGGGGCAGTGCTGTCTGGTTTAGAGAGGTAAGCTCTGGGAGTGAAGGAGGGAGGACTTCCTTTTTGTTAGCCAAGGATGCCAAGGGCTATTCCATGGTTTTCGGCTACGTAGAGAGTGAACAGCTGAGAGATGTCAGGCAAAGAGAGAGCAGGAGCAGTGACAAGGGTGATTTCAGTTTGTGGAAGCCTGGGATTACGTGGTGTGAAGGGTGAAGGGGCTCATTTAGAGGGACCTTTGGCTGCTTCACAGAGAGGGTGAGCTGGGAGGGCAAAATTGAGAATCCATATTCTGAAGAAACCTGCTGGTCCTAAGAAAGAAAGGATTTCATTCTTAGGAGAGGGTGGAGGTAGGCTCTCTTATTAACGCTGCCCGTGCCAGGGTAATGGCTCCGGCCCTGGGGAAAAGTGGGACCCCTAAGTAAATCATGGTTGGGGTGGAGAGTTGTGTCTCAGAGGAGGAGACGACTCTACACCCTTCACTAGCAAGGAAGGTAATGTGGCTCCTCTGGGAAGGGGCTAGAGAGGCGGAGATCATCCACGTACTTGAAGGAGCTGCCAAGGGGAAAGGTTTAGGGGGGTGAGGTCCTGAGCTAGAGCTTGTCCAAAGAAATGGGGACTATCTCTAAAGACTTGAGGGAGGACTGTCCAAGTAAGCTGTTGTGACTAGAAGGTTTCAGAGTCAAAAAGATTCTGGGAGTCAGGGTTTCGGGGAACAGTGACAAAGGCACCTTTTAGATTGATGGCAGTGTAGTGGGTCGCGTTGCAAGAGATAAGGGAAAGGAATGGATAAGAGCTGGGAACTACCAGATGGATGCGAGACTATCTGATTGACAGCCTAGAGGTCTTGGACTGGTCTATAAGAACCGTCTGCTTTTTTGAAAGGAAGGATGGGGTTGGTCTAAGACGACCATGCATGAGGAGTTTGTTTACAATGGGCTGTAAGCCTGGGTAAGTTAGTGAGACGGAATACTGGGGGATGTTAGAAAATCTGAAGGGCTCTTTTAGCTGGATTTTGATGGGATCACGGTGAGCTGCCAGGGGAGGGGCAGGAGTACCCCACACTGTTAGATTAACAAGAGAAGTGGGGAGTGGATACCGGGGAGAGGGGTTAAGAGCTGGTGCAGTAGTGGAGAGGAGGAGACAATCTGGTTGTGGGGAACAGAAGGTGATAGAAGCTTCGAATTTGGTTAGGAGATCCCTGCCTAGGATGGGACAATATAGGATGAGATATGATAAGGAAAGAGTGTGAGAAAATGGTATCAAGTAGGGAACAAGAGATCTGGTGGCGCGTGGGCGCGAGATGAGTCAGTCAACCCCCACAACTGAGACCTGAGAGGGATGAATTGGTCCTGAGAATTCAGGCAAAGCCAAGCAGGAGGCCCCAGTACCGCTTGAGAGAGAGACTGGCTTACCTGATACTAGTAAAATTACCCGGGGCGCCAATGCAGGTGATAGCAGATGATGCCAGGGGCCATGGGCCTTGTTAGTCTTCAGCAGCTAGGACAAGGAGGTGTGGGAGTACAAGCAATTCTTCACTTTTCATCTTACTGAAGGGTGGTAGCTTTGGGAGGCAGGCTATTCTGTTGAGAGAACAGTCAGACTTTCAGTGGCCTGTCTGCTGGCAGACCAGGCAAGGGCTTTCGGCACTTGTGGGTTAAGACATGCTCATGCCCAGTGGCCTTCGTTGCCGTGGTAGAACACGGACCTTACAAGGAGCCTACAAGTTTGTCTACATCATGGTGCTACGAAGGGGTTTTACGTTCTTGAGCACAACGTTTATGGTAACAAAGCCTAGGTTACCCTGCACCGGAACATGAGGCATGAAGAGGCATTCTGCAGTTTTTTCCCTTGTTTATGCATTACTCATAACCGATTTATGCAGGCACTCTGTAAGTCCTTTCTCCTTTGCTGCTTTTCCTGACAATCCTTGTTATTGAAGACTTTGAAAACCAGGTTAAGGAGGTCTTCTTGTGGGATGTGAGGACCATCCTCAGCCTTTTAAGTTTGTGTCAGATGTCGGGGGCAGATTGGGAGATAAAATGGGTATTAAGAACAATAATTCCTTCTGGGGAGGCAGGTTCGACACAGGTATATTTTTTGGAGAGCCTCTGTAAGGTGGGAAAGAAATTGGGCAGGGTTTTCACCTGCTTTTTGGGAAATTTCAGTTTTTCAAACCTTACAGCCTTATGGGCAGCTTTGTTAAGGCCTGCAATGAGGCAAATGATCATATAGTTATGGGATGCCCAGCCAGGGTCTGTGGATTGGTACTCTCAGGAAGGCTCTTGGGTGGGGATGTGTGGGGGGGAAACAGCAGCGGATCCTAAGGGCTTAGTAGGATCTAGGATCTTGCCAATGAAGACCTTCAGCATGTGCCTGGGCTGTAGCCACACTGCTTCCTTCTCTTCCGGAAGGAGGACAGGAGAGAGGATAATAAAGAGAATCATGCCCAGTTCCTAAGACTGGGTGAGTTATTTAAATTATTTGATGTAATTATCGGGATTGGAGGACCCCAGACGTTTTTCAATCTGGCAGAGATCAGAGAGGGAGAAACGGACACGGACACAGACAGTCCCTTTAGCCTCTGCTATCTCAGGGAGGAGAAGCAAGGGAGATGGTTGCTGGGCATGCTGGGCTCCAGAGCGGGTAAGGGGTGGAGACGGGGAGGGCTCAAGACTCAGAAGCAGGGTGGTTGGGGGAAGGGTTAGAGCCAGAGCAGGAGCGGACCAGGGTCCCCCTTCACGCTGCCGTCGAGCAGGAAGAAAATCGGCGGGGTTAAAGAGGAGTCATCCTGTGACTTTTATGGCGGCAGTTAAATAAAAAACAGGAATTTACAAGAATGTGTAACTAAGGTTTGTTCACGTTTCCCATGACGTCCCCTGTTCTGCCCAAATGGCTGGAATTACGGGTTGCTTAACGGAGGCGTCTGGCAACCTTGCTGTGGCGCTTAGGTAAGTTTAGGAATGCAGCTGCAGAGCATTCAGGGTAAGGGTCGGCTGCATCGAGGGGTTTTCTGGGGCAGCTTGTCCAGGAAACCGATGTTCAAGACCTTAAAGGACCTAAGCAAAAAACTAACGTCAAGAAAACCCTCTCACGTAGCACGGTCAGAATGACTCCTACAGGTAAGCAAAGGCCGCCTCTGCTTTCTTCTATGTCCATTCCTAAGTGAGTCTCAAAAAAAAAAAAAAACACCCACTGCCACTTCCTTGCTAACTCGATACCCTTTGTCCCGCCCCCCCCGCCCCCGCCAAAACCGCCTCCCCCAGTCTTTGTTCTAGGTTGCACAAAAATGCAAGCCGTTCAGAGTTTTAAAAACAAGGGCGAACTCCTAAGGAAGCATCTATAGGTTGCACGGGGGTGGAAAACCTCGGAAATAACAGAATTTTCCCTCTCCACCCGCCCACCCCCTCCCCCAACCAAACGGACAAGATGGCGGAGGCCCGCGGCGTGCGAGCAGCGAAAGGGGCTAGACCCGCCGCGGGGCAGACGGAGGAGGGTCCTCCACGGCATCCCTGCTCGCTCCAGCTGCAGAAATCACTGGCTCCCAAGTGCCCCCAACAGCCACCACCATCCCCGCAGGCAACTCCTAGACTCGCCCCGGAGCGCGCTCTCTGGGTCCCTGCAAAGACCCTGACGCTGCTCACGCGACAACGTGGCTGCTACCGTTGCAGCCTCCAGACCTTCAGGACAAGTGCGTCCCTAATCTCAACGCCCCGCCACACAGCCAGAAAAAAAGATCGAGACAAGGAAACTTACAACAGCATTTCTCTTTCCAAGGCGCTTCTGGGTCGCAGCACGCGCAGCTTGCCGCTGGCAAAGCCGGTCCTCAGCGCCAGCCCGCGCTCCGGCCGAGGCGTCCAATACACGCGCCTGTTTGGGAAACTCCGCTTTAGTGCTTAGGCAAAGGATTATTACCTGCTCCCGCTAGAATCTTCCTGAAAAAGCGCAGAGGCGTTGTCTCTGGGGCTGACAAAAAGGGAGAAGGATATGTTGGAAACGATTGTCTTGTCACCCGCGTCCGGCAATTCTGAAGACAGCACCAAAGGTGGGCCGTGCAGAGAAAGGACCCCGAGGGCGGCGCTGCGGGAGAGAGAGAAACTGCTGGGACTGTTTGCGAGGCGGGAGCTTGAGCGGAGGCTGCAGAGGCGGGGCCCAAGCCCAAGGGCCGGCTTCAAAGTAAGTCCCAGCCGCGGGGCGGGAGGCGAGTCCAGTGCGGAGATTGACAGGGGGCGGTTCCGGGGAAGAGCCCAGGTGGCTCAGAATTAGAGGCGGAGCCTACAGGGCGAGAGGCCGGGCTAGAGCAGTGACGCAAAGACGGAAAGCAGGGTCCTTAGGTCTGGGGAAGTGGGGCCTGGGGGTCTGGACTCCTGGGTCTGTGGGAGGATGGTTTGGCGCTCATACGCTGGAGTCTTAGGGAGGTGGGGCCGGGGCTCGTACACTTACCTGGGTGTGAGGGAGGACGGACGGGGAGTCTGGATTCCTGGGTCTGAGGGAGGAGGGGCTGGGGGCCTGGACTCCCGGGTCTGAGGGAGGAGGGGCTGGGGCCTGGACTCCTGGGTCTGAGGGAGGAGGGGCTGGGGTCTGGACTCCCGGGTCTGAGGGAGGAGGGGCTGGGGGCCTGGACTCCCGGGTCTGAGGGAGGAGGGGCTGGGGGCCTGGACTCCCGGGTCTGAGGGAGGAGGGGCTGGGGGCCTGGACTCCCGGGTCTGAGGGAGGAGGGGCTGGGGGCCTGGACTCCCGGGTCTGAGGGAGGAGGGGCTGGGGGCCTGGACTCCCGGGTCTGAGGGAGGAGGGGCTGGGGGCCTGGACTCCCGGGTCTGAGGGAGGAGGGGCTGGGGGCCTGGACTCCCGGGTCTGAGGGAGGAGGGGCTGGGGGCCTGGACTCCTGGGTCTGAGGGAGGAGGGGGGAGCCTGGACTCCTGGGTCTCTGGGAGGAAGGGCTGGGGTTGCAATCCCATGTTTGGGAGAAGAAGAGGTTGGGAGCTGGGACTACTGGGGCTGGGGGAAGCCTGTGGGGCACACCCCCAGTTGTGATGGTTGAAGGCCCGTGACAGTGCATTCTTGGTAGGGTTGGAGATCTTAGGAGCGTCTTTCCACTGATATAATTATACAGTCTTTCCACTTATATGATTATTTTGAAAATAAAAAAAATGAAATTTCTCTACTCCGAACTCACTTTCTAGGAGTTCCGCTGTGAACAATTTAGTGTGAACTTTATTATTATTATTATTATTATTGTTACTTTGTATTTTTTCAGATGGAGTCTTGCTCTGTCGCTCAGGATGCAGTGCAGTGGCACAATCTCTCAGCTCACTCCAACCTTCGCCTCCTGGGTTCAAGCGATTCTCCAGCCTCAGCCTCCCAAGTAGCTGGGATTACAGATGCCTGCCACCACGCCCAGCTAATTTTTGCATTTTTAGTAGAGATGGGGTTTCACCATGTTGGCCAGGCTGATCTTGAACTCCTGATCTCAGGTGATCCACCTGCCTCGGCCTCCCAAAGTGTTGGGATTACAGGCGTGAGCCACCACGCCCAGTCACAAGTGACACAAACTCTTAATTTGAACTAGCTTGAGAGAACTAGTTGTACTAGCTTGGGTGAACTAACTTGAACTATCTAGGGGCTCCATCATGGGATCCCCTGGGTGAGAAATGATAGGGGTAGGAATGTCTTCAGGCATGGCTGGATTCAGAGGCCCAAGTGATAGTGTCAGATATTACTGTTTCTTGGCTACTTGGATTGGCTTCATTCTCAAGGCTTTATGTAGTGGCAAGTCAGAATCCAGTTACGAAAGTAAATCATTCCAGGTTCTTCAGAAGGAAGTAAATAGAGGGAATTGGTTCATGAGTGATAGAAGAACTGAGAAGCTAATAAGAAATAGTGAGGCAAATCAGGGGTTTAGGAACTACAGGATGCTGCTACTCAGCCAGAAGGACAATGGGAGGAGGTGGTATTACTACAGTCCAGAAACTGGAACCCTATGGAAGGCATAGGCCCATGGTTGGATTGCTCAGGGGTGGCTAGAATCAGGGAATAGATATAACTACTACTGAAGACCCACCACATGCAGAGATAGAGAGGGCGATAAATACCTGGCTTGTCCTCTCCTCCCAGAGCCAGTCTTCTGCCAGTGCCTCCCATTAGCCAAACACAGTGATAAGATGGTGAGCAAAGGAGTTTGGGAAATGTGGTTCTTGCAGTGCAGAACAGGGCAGGGTGGGGAATGGATCTGAGAGCAGACAGAGAAAACTGGCAGAGCTGTCAGCAACTTGGCAGAATTGGTAATAATTACTGAGTCCAGTAGAAAAAAGTTGTCAACAGTTTTTGCAAGAGTCCTGTGTGGCTTGGGGCACATGAGCACCCTGAGCCAATTATACGGCCAGTGCAGTACAGTTTGTTGATTGGCTTATAACTGGGGCTGAGAAGGGCAATGGGCAGGAGGTGAAAGGTATGGTGGGGAGGTAAGCTGCAAATGTCCACTTATTCTGACTAAGCCACAGAGTGGCTGCTCTCTAGGATGATGAGAGCCAGGGACTTAAGTGTCATCTCAGTGCTCTTTCTCTTGTCTGTTTTTCTTCATAGTTTTACTCTCCCCCATGAGGCTGGGTCCAAAACTTAGGCAGTTTCAGGCTCATAATCCTCGAGGAGAGACTGCTCTTCCCTGACAGCTTCCTAATAAAAAGCCCTGGGGCAGAGTCTGATTGGTTGGCTTTGGTCATGTGTCCATTTTTGGGCCAATTGTAGGGTCTGTGGCATGGGGTACTGTGATTGGCTCAGCCAGAATCACATGATTATCTCTGTGGCCCGGAGGGCAGCATATGTCAGGAGAATCCCTCAACCATTGTTATGTGAGTTGGGTGGAGGGTGTCCCCAAGAGATGCCAGGCTGCTGTTCTGGGCAGACCAAATTCTCCATTCACGGTCTTGGTTTTTGGTCTGGTGCGTTCTCCCTGACCTCTGCTTCTAGACTCTTCAATTAGCAGAAAGAACTAAGGGGACCGGTGACACGTGTAGTCCCAGCACTTTGAGAGGCCAAGGAGGGAAGATCGCTTGAGCTCAAGAGTTTGAGACAACCCTGTGTAGCATAGTGAGACGCCATCTCTGCGAACAAAATCAAACAAAAACAGAAAAAAAACCAAGGGATCTGATATCTCCCCAAATCCTGAGAGTGCTGTTGCTGTTCTGTATATATGATGGTCCTTTCTCTTTCTTGTTGGGTGTTAGAGATGTGCAGTTTGCCAGAAACAAAGCAGATGAGGTCTTAGCTTATTTGGCTAAAACAGTTTTGCACTGTTGGAAAGTAGGCAAAGTAGAAAAAGGGCTAAAAGGAGGAGATGAAGTCCTCAGAAACAGCTGAAACTCTCTTCTGCTGGAAATACAACTTGGATAAATATCCATCGTAAACTGGAACTAAGCTTTTGGGCACATTGGTGTTAGAGTGTTTGATCTGAAAGTTTTTCTCATATACAAATCTGTGCGTGTTTTGGGAGGAGGGGCTCTGAGGTGTGAACAAGAGGTGACACTAGGATGTCTGGGGAGGTTGTCGACATGTGAATGGGGCCACTGGAGGACCTTGGGTGATGACGAGGAGAGACTGTAGCAGAAGTGGGGTGACTTTGGAGATGACTGGGGTTGCTGAGTTGTCGTGGGTAACTTTGAGGGTGCTGTTGAAGGTGTCTGGGAGTGATACTAAGGATATTAATGTGCGTTATTATGAAACACCTTTTAGGAGTTCAAGTAAGGTGACTGGGGGTGTCTGTCGGGGTGACTGTAGAAGTGATTGAGGCTGGGTGTGGTGGTTCACACCTGTAATCCCAGAAATTTGGGAGGCCGAGGTGGGCAGATGACCTGAGGTCAGGAGATCGAGACCAGCCTCACCGACATGGTGAAACCCCATCTCTACTAAAAATACAAAACTTAGCCAGGTGTGGCAGCAGGTACCTGTAGTCCCAGCTGCTTGGGAGGCTGAGACAGGAGAATTGCTTGAGGCCAGGAGGCAGAGGTTGGAATTGACCCAAGATTGTGCCACTGCACCCCAGCCTGGGCGACAGAGTGAGATTCTGTCTCAAAAAAAAAAAAAAAAAAAAGAAAGATAAAAGAAAAAAGATATGATTGAGATGGTTCTGTGGGATAACCTTGGGGGGGGTCATCTGTGAAGTGACATTGAGGGGCATGTGGGATGGATTATGAGAGTGAGAATTGACTTTGAGGTTAAGTAGGGGTGCTTTGGGACAACTCTAAGGGTGTGACTAGGGATGACTCTAGGGTTCCCTGGGGTTGACCTTGTGAGAGTGGAGTTACTTTGGGGTTTCTAGGAGGTGATTTTGGGGATGTGCCAAACTTTGGGGGTGTCTGTTTGGCTGCTTGTGGCTATCAACAGGGATGAGTTTGGAGGATGATCAAGAGGGGTGTCTGGGGTATCTGTCCCCCTCTCCCCAGTTCTTACCCATATGAGTGGGGGCTTCATGTTACTGGCAGTCATCCTGTTCTGTGTCCTCCTCCCAGCCAGTGTCCCACCACCTGAACGTCATCGACTTTGTCTTTAGTTTCCTCTGCATCGGCATTGGTTAAGTGCTGGCTCTGGCATGGCGGGGCGGCGGGGGTCGGGGGGGGGTGTCCCTGACCCCAGCACCCCTCTCTGGCTTTTGGGAGGTGTATCTAGACTTTTGTGCTGCTCCCCTTGGAGCCTCTGTCTTAGCGTGTCTCTGGTGAGCTCTGACTCAGTTCTAGTCTCTCTCTCAGTCTGGGGGTGTGGGGTGTTTCCTCTCCCCCACTCTGTTTCCCTTTCTTTTTTGTCCCTTCTCTCCAGGTATCTTTCTGTCTGCTGTGAGGGGGTGTGTGTGTGTCTGCCTGTCACGGAGAGTAGGAGAGGATGTCTCAGTCCCTCTTCTCTTACTGGGGGTCCCAGAGCTCACTGTCCAGCCTTCTATCCATCTCTGGCCCCACCGCAGTGCAGGGCTCCTGATTCTTTTCAGCCTGACACTCCTTCCAGTTAACTGCAAGGTGGTGCACCTGAGTCCGCTGGTGTCCTGCCTGGTGACCTCCTACCTGTGCTGGGACGCCAGCAACCTGATGCTGCCTGCCGGTGAGGGCGAGGCCTCGGAGGTGGACGGGGCCTCGGGGAAGCGGGTGGGGCCTAGGGTGGGACTCGGAGTCCAGTGGCCCTCCTAGCCTGCTCCCCCAGGAGCCGTGTCCTACCTAAACCGAGTGGGCATGTGGAGCAGAGGGCAGCCCTTGAACGTGCAGCAGCTGAGCTATGGCGGGTGGGCCTTGCAGCAGGGCACTGAGAGGTGCACATCCAAACAGAACTCAGACACAGACTCTGAGCATAGCCTGGGCCTGCCGATTTCATGCACCCCCGAGGACGAGACCACAAGCCCCTTCAAGGAATAGCCCCCGAGCTCCTCAGGACACTGACCGGCAGCCCTGGCCAGATGCCAGGCCAACCCCTTCAGCATGGCCATGCCCCTGATATTAGACCTCCCTTGAGGCCCCACCTCTTGAGATCAGGCCACGCCCTACGAGGGGACCGGTAGCAAACTCTGACCCTCTCTCTAGGACCCGTCCTTTGCTGCTTTGTTCCTGCCTGGGAAGGCATGGCTTGCAATAACATCCCTTTGTACCTTTCCTGGCTTCCCCGCCTGCAATAAAACGTAGACACTTGCTAACCTCTCAGCCTCGGACCCTCCATTGCCCCCCACCTCCCAACCAGGGCAGGGTCCATCCTAGTGTGAGTGAACTGGTCTGGTGTCCCTGACTTGCCCTTTGGAATCTGAGCCTTTCCCTGCCTGTTTGTCTGCACCTGTTACAGCCCCTTCCTTTCCCCACGGGCTGGTGACCTCCAGGCACAAGACTGGGACAGCTGGGGTGGCCCCAGCCTCAGCCGAGTGGGTCCAGGTGCACCATATCTGGAAAGATAAGTGATGCCAGAACGTGACACACATTTGATGCACATTCAGTTTTACTGGGGGTAGGGGACAGGGCTGGGCATTCAGGAGTTGTCCGCTATGGTGTCCTTGATCCACTTCATATATGACAGCACTCTCACGAAGACAGAAGGCTTGTTGGGGCTGCCACAAGGGACGTAGCCCCATGATGTGATGCCTTGGAGCACGCCGTCACAGGTCAGCGGGCCCCCTGAGTCACCCTGGGAGGTGGAAGGGGAGAGCGACAAAGGTGTGTGGGGCCCAGTTCTCCCTGGGGAGCCCCAGCTCTCAGAAAGGGCCTCCAGTGCCCACTTCCAGAGGAAGGTGGGCAGGGATTCCTACAGAGGGTCCAGGGGCTCCAGTCCTGGCCAAGGAGGAAGGGACTTCAGGGTCCAACTCCTGCGTGTGTAGCAGGGTCCAGGAGGACAGTCCCTGCAGACAGGTCAATGGGAGGAGGGGCAGGACCATCTGCAGGCGCATCGCAGAGGCCACCTCTCTGACTCAACAGTAACTGCGTTACCGGGAGGAACGGTGAACTCTGGTGTTGGGGGGTGAGATGCAGTTGTACCTGAATGAGCGGGGGGAAAGGAGGGGAGCTGGGGCACTGATGGGGCAGGAGGCTACAGCTAGCTGGGGAGCAGTGAAGCCGACGCCCGGTTAGTTCTCAGAAGCCAGTTCTTAGGCTGAGTCCCCTCCCCCAGCCCTTCCAGACTCTGGGGGCAGGACTGGCTCACCACACAGGTGTCTTGGCCATCTTCCAGGGATCCGGCACACAGCATGAACTCTGTCACATTCTGGGTGTGGGCTTTGTCGCACTCATCATTAGGCACGATTTTGAGGTCCACACACTGGAGAATATCTGGAAATGAGACTAGGAACCCGGGAGAAAACGGGCTGCAGCCAGACCTCACCTGGTTCCTTGGCCCTTTCTCCCTCCGACTCAGGCATCCCCAGCCCCGCCTTGGCCTGCACCGTCTGCCCCCACATACACTTCTCTGGTTCGATGCTGCCCCAGCCGGAGGCCAAACAGGTGCTCCCGACTTCGACGCCCTCAGTGGGCAACTCCACGACCTTCACGGCATCTGTGATCTGGACAGGCTGCTTCAGCTGGAGCAGCATGAGGTCGTGGCTGTAGTCCTCGCCTGGGAGGCGGGTGTGGTTCTTCAGGAGGCTCATGTTGAAGTCAGGGTGTGGGAAGCTCTTACTGACTAGAACAAACTGGGCTGTGGCTTCGTCCTCAAACAAGTCATGGCGACCCAGCCAGAGCTGGTAATGGCTGGGGAAAGATGGGAGTGGAAGGATGCGGAGGCAGACAGGGGAAAGGAGAATGGGGCAGGGGAGCATGGGGGAGGGTCCCCAAAGAGGGAAAGAGAAAGAGAAAAACGGGGGTGGGCAGAGACAGATGAAGAAAGATACGGAGAAACACAGACACCAAGTGGCAAGATGAAGGAGTTTAAGAGTGCAAAGGGCAAATGCAGAGACAGAAAGTGAAAAAGAGCTCAGAAGGACAGAGGGGTGAGAGGCAGAGGGAGGGCAGTGAGAAAGAAACGGGGTGAGCAAAACAGAGGCTGCTGAGAAGGAGAAAAGACAGGGACAGCGAGAAACAGGCCCAGGGGAGAGGGAGGAAGAGGGAACAGAACCCGGAGGGGAGCGAGAAGCAGACAGATGAAAAAGGGCTCGGGAAGTCAGAGAACTAGAAACAGAGGCAGAGAGGAAGGAGGGGTGACCGAGTGTGGGAGAGAAAAGGGAGGGAGGCCCTGGGGGAGGGTGGGGGCAGGTGGGGAGGCGGGGAGCCTGAGAGCAGCTCAGCTGCAGCTGGGGCTGTGGTGCGGGCTCCCCAGGGGCGGGTGGCCTGGGCTGAAGTCCAACGTCGAGGCCCCCTGCCCCCCCCAGCACCCTCCCCGCCTTTCTTACCCCCCCTTCTCCTTCCTGCTCCCTCAGTTTCCCACCAAGCTCCCACTGAAACCAGCCTTCCCTGTGTTTTCCCAGACTGGAGGGATGTCCTGTGGGGGGCTGGCCAGAGGGAGAGGTGCCCCCTGCCAGGCACACACACTGGGGATAAAGCCCTTCCTTTGTTCTTGGGCCTCCCTTAGGCCCTTCTGGGTGTGTGTTTAGTAGGGATGGAGGAGCAGTGAGGTGGAGACCCAGAGAGAGAGATGGGCAGAGAGCTGGAGGGTGACACACAGTGACAGAGATGCCACAGAGGGACCCAGAGAGACAGAGACAGGGGAGACACGGACAAGGAGACAGAGAAGAGAGAGGGAGATAGAGACTAAAACACAGTCACACAGACACAAACAGAGCCAGATCCCAAGAGACCCAGCAAGACCCAGGCAGCCTTGGGGAGGGAAATCCAGCCCAGCTCAGCCTCCCCATGGGAACTGCCTCCCTCTCTGCCTCAGTCCCCGAGTCTTGCCTGAGGTTATCCAAGGGGAATGCCACTGGCTTCTCAATCCTGTGGCAGTGTAGACGCCCTCCTCCCAGACCCCAGGCCCCTACTCACTTGCTGATGCAATGGGCAGCCGTGAGCACCCACTGGGGGTGCACCAGGACGCCCCCGCACTGGAAGGTGCTGTAATGGTACAGAGCCGCCTGCCAGGGTTGGGAATGCGGCTTACAATCCCAGCCTCCCACAATCCGGGACTGAATCGGGGGCACAGCACCTGCAGAGGTGGTGCTGGGTCAGGGAGGGCAGGGTTGGTAGGAGAGGCCAGGGATGAGGCTAGGAGGGGGAGCTGGGCTGTGGGTTTGAAGGGACATTGTGGGTAGAGGACTAGGGCTGGAGGTCTGGGGACACGGGCGAGGGACATTGGGAAGGGCTGGGACTCTAGACCCTTCCCTGGGCTTTTGGGGTGGTGTCTGGACCTGGTGCGGAGATTTCGTGCTCTGACAGCAGAGCAGCCTCCAGGGATGAGGGCAGGAGGCAGGAGACAGTGTCAGGAGCAGACACTGTGTCTGGGTGTCTGGTCACTTGGGCTGTGGGGTGGGAGACGATGGGTTAGGAGAGTGGAAAGGGATTCTGGAAACCAGAGATCAAGGCACCAAGGATGAGAGAGGATCAGAGGCTTGCTGAAGAATGTGGAGGGCTAAGGGGCTTCCGGGCTAGGGGAACACGACCTGGGTTGGGCTTTTGGGGTTCAAGAAAAGATGCAGCTTTAGGGAACCGGGTCTGAGAGGTCAAAAGAGCATCTGGATTGAGGAGTTTGGGGGTGATATGGGGTCCCTACACGGGTTGGAAGGAGCCAGCTCGGCTGGGAGAGTTAGATTTCAGGGCTTCTTGGTTAAAGGGTAAAAGAAAGGGTCATGGTTGAGGCTAGGGGTGGGTTCTGAAAAGTTTTGGGATCCTTCCTGTGAACCAGGAAGGGCAACCTGAGAACAGAGTTGGGGTCAGGACTGGAAAGGGGCTCAGGAGGAGGGAGGGGTGAGTGACAGTCCTTCTGGGACGGGGTGACGGATGGGATCTTTGTTTTTATGGGGTTGGGGTTCATGGTCTGAGGTTACTGGAGGGATGTGGGGTCCTCTTGGAGGCAGTCCCAGGATAGAATTGGAAAAGTGGTCAAAACAGGTACCTAGCAGCTGCAGGAATAGAATGCAGGACCCACTTGATGTGAGGTTGTAGAATCACATACTGGTGGACTCGGGGTAGGCCAGGGCAGAAGGTCTGGCTGAGAAGACATTTGGGGTCCTTGGGGTGGGGCTCTAGAAAACCAGAGCTGTGCAGGAACGATTCAGGTGGAGAAGGGCTGGGGCCTGGGGCGGGATGGAAATTCCCCAAGGGAAGGAGCAGGTGGGAGGGTGAGGGTGTTTTTCCTGGGAGAGCTGGGGGTGCTGAGTGGGTAGGGACATTTGCAGAGTCCCCCTCATACCAGATGGGGGAATCTCACATGCCAGTTTGGGAAGCAGGGTTGGCTGGTGAAATTTGGGGGAGCTGGGAGGACTGGGGGGACCAGATGTCAGGGTCTGAAGGACACAGTCGAGAGCTGACAGCTGGATGGAAAAAGTCACTGGAGTATGGCAGGATTTGTAGACTCAGGAGCCAAATGGGTGGCTGCAGAGAACTAGGGGGAAGGAGGGGATGATCAAGGGTCCTGTGGGGTTGGGGAAGCCCATGGGAGAGCTGGGTCCTCCAGAGAGAGACAGAGATGGCCCAGAATCTGCTCCTTTGGTAAAGCGGTGGGACTGGGAGTTGACTAGGGAAGAGGAGAAAGTACTGAGGCTTCCTGGAAGGAGCAGGGATCTGGTGTGGCAGTGAGGACTGTGACAACATGGAGGGGCTGGGGTGGAATTTTAGGTTGGGCCCGCACAAGATCGATAAGAGCCTGGGCATCCTGGACCCGGGTGGACTGTGGGCTGGAGGGACGATGATGGAGTGTTGGAGGGGAAGGGCTTATCGGGAGGGGGGTGAGGGCAGCAAGAAAGTCAGGGCCCGCTCCCCCTCCCACATCCCGCCACTGTCTCACCAGTCCCCCCCAGGGACAGGGCGAGGCACAGGACCAGGAACCACATGGTGACAGATGTGTGCAGGGCCCGGCAGGTGGAGGAGCTGAGGAACCTCCCTGGGGAGCCTTTTAAAAGCCCTTATCCCCTCAGAGCCCCACCCATGCCCTGCTGGCACCCAGATGTTGGCCAAGGCCCTTCTCCTGTTGCCTGGGGGCTGGACAACTTCCCCCCCTCATCCCCAGAGCTGCAGACTGGAGGGAGGGCCAGCACCTGTTCTGCAGGCCCCAGGTCACGCTGGATACATTCCTGGGGCTGAAGCCAGGTGGGAAAGGGCCTGTGGCTCTGAGGCTCTGCTCTGGGGAACAGCCTGTGGGGCAAGGGGGACTGACGGGAAGCAGAAACAGGAGGGTGGAGGAATCAGTGACCCTCGTAAAAATCCCCATATACCTAAGATCCAATTAAGGCCCTGTACCCCAAGACCCAGTGCCCTCAAATACCAGCAGTTAGGGCTTTGATTCCCTGCACCACTCAGAGCCAAGATACCAGCATTTCAGCTGCCAGCTCCCCCCGAAATATAAGCCTTGGCCTTCAGAATGCCATGGTTCTTGCATTCCCAGACCCAGGACCTAGGTCCCCAAAGTGACTGTTCCTTTCATAATAATATTTGGGGGTACACACCACCACATTCCTAGTGCCTCCAGATCCAGGAATGTGAAGTTTCAGGGGTCTCGCAGGGTAAGTTCTTTAGCATTACAAAACCCAGTGTCCCTCCCAAACAATGCTGGGGTCCCAGTGAGCCACCCACTTCTTGTACCAGTTATGGGTGCTCAATGTCCTGCCCTCCAAAGCCCCAGAGATCTGACAACCTTCCCTCCCAGGTCAAGATCAGACTAACCACAGATTCCATTGACCACCCCCCATTCCACCAGTACAGTATTTAGGTCTCAAGAGCCAGATTCATGTACTTCAACATTCAGCGACCTTGAACATCACATTTTGTGGTCACTGAAGACAATTAGGAATTAGATTCCTGCAGCCTCAATGGCAAACCCATAGGCTTCCAATATGTTGTCTTGGCTTTTTGATAAAATCAAAGCAGCTCAGAGTTCCAGCCTCTGCTGTATATCAGGAACCTGGCTAAGAAAACAACAGTATTTGCCTTTTTGCCATGGTTACCAGGAATCCCAGAAATAAATCCTTTTTTTTTTTTTTTTTTTTTTTTTTTTTTGAGATTGAGTCTTGCTCTGTCACCAGGCTGGAGCGCAGTGGAGTGATCTTGGCTCACTACAACTCTTGCCTCCCAGGTTCAAGTGATCCTCCCATGTCACCCTATCAAATAGCTAGGATTACAGGCATGTGCCACCATGCCCAGCTAATTTTTTGTCTTTTTAGTAAATATGGGTTTTCACCATGTTGGCCAGGATGGTCTTGAACTCCTGACCTCAAGTGATCTGCCCTCCTTGGCCTCCCAAAGTGCTGGGATTAGAGGCATGAGTCACCATGCCCAGCCCGGACCTAAATATTTTCTTTTTTGAATTGGAGTCTCGCTATGCTGCCCAGTCTGGAGTGCAATGGTGAGATCTTGGCTCACTGCAACCTCCGCCTCCTGGGCTCAAGAGATTCTCCTGCCTCAGCCTCCAGAGAAGCTGAGATTATAGGCACCCACCAGAGCACCTGGCTAATTTTGTATTTTTAGTAGAGACGGGGTTTCAACGTGTTGACCAGGCTGGTCTCAAAACTCCTGACATTGTGATCTGGCTGCCTTGGCCTCCCAAAGTGCTGGGATTATACGCGTGAGCCACCGTGCCAAGCCCGTACCTAAATCTTAAAGAAAAAGCCATTTTGGTAATCTAATGTCTCCTAGGTCCTTTAACTGGGATCCAGAGATAGAGGGTATTACTCACTGCCAGACGCTATTTTAATCAGTTCAGACAAATCATCTCATTTAATCCTCACAACAGCTCTTTGAAGTCAGCAATAAGATGTTTTCATTTTACAGATGGGGAAACCAAGGCCAAGTGAGATTAAGCCTCTCGTTCAAGATCACATGGCTGGTCATGTGTGTTGAATGAATGAAGCCTTGCTTCAGGCCATTTCTCCTCACCCAGGGATCAGGGTGGTGGGTGAAAGGAGCAGTGTACAGTGTCTCTGGATTTCCCTTTAACCCCAGAATGAAGTCACAGAAATTCCTACAGAGAAACTTGGATCAGCGCTTTGGTATCTTGGCATTAAATGGGTGACCTTGAGTGCCAGCTTTGTCCTCAGGTGGGACAAGTCCTTGGCTAACATCTGGGCCTTAGACAAGGTCTTGAGGGATGGCTCCACTCTGTTCCATGTCAAGTGGGGCTGCTGGCCAGCTGCGGGGGCTTCTGCTCGGTCAGGGCACAGGTGATAAGCCAGAATAGTCAGTTCCTCTTCATGGTCTCCCTGATCCATTTCACATAGTGGCAGACTTTGGTATAGACACCAGGCTTGGTGGTATTGTCACAAGGGACGTCACCCCAGGACACAATGCCCTGTAGGATGCCCCCACAGACCAGGGGTCCCCCGGAGTCACCCTGTGGGGAGAAGAGGAGGTTCCAGGTTGAGTGAAACCTCCTGGATTCAGTGCATTCATCCTCATCCTAATCACCATTTGCAGTCTCACCCCAAACCCAAGCCATCCCCATCCCAGGGAACCCCAACCCAACTCAACTCAATACAGCCCAATTTATCTGCTTTCATTTTTATTTTTTGAAGTGGAGTTTCACTCTTGTTACCCAGGCTGGAGTGCAATTGCGCGATCTCGGCTCACCGCAACCTCCGCCTCCTGGGTTCAGGCAATTCTCCTGCCTCAGCATCCTGAGTAACTGGGATTACAGGCACGCGCCACCATGCCCAGCTAATTTTTTGTATTTTTAGTAGAGACGGGGTTTCACTATGTTGACCAGGATGGTCTCGATCTCTTGACCTCATGATCCACCCACCTCGGCCTCCCAAAGTGCTGGGATTACAGGCTTGAGCCACCGCGCCCGGCCTAGCCCAGTTTATCTCAAATGGAGCCAACCCAACCCCACCCCCAATTCAACACAGCTCAATGCAACTCACCCAACCTATGTCCAGTCTCACCCCCGTGAACCCCAATGCAACTGAACTAAGCTAAATCCAGCTCAGCCAACATCCTCACCATTCAGAATCAAACCAAACCCATGCCTGTCTCACAACCCAATCCCAATCTTCATGCCTCCTGCATGCCAAACAAAATCTACCCCATCCCAATTCAACCCTCACATATTTCCCACCCAAAATCAAACCAAACCATTCCCATTCTCAACCTCAACCCATGCCATCCCAAACCAACTATCACATTATCTACCTCAAACAATGCAATCCCCACCTATAACCCCAACTCCAATCTCACCCCTATTCTAACTTCTCTTCCTACTCCATCTCCAAGTCTCACCCTAGCATCTTCTCTGGCCCAAAGCAAAGAAAATCCAACCCCATCCCCACTCCCACACCTATCCCCATCCCTCTTCCTCTGCCTGATGGCCCCGCTGGGCTCTGACCTCACAGGATTCTGCGCCTCTGCCTTCTGCGCCTGCACACACCATGGTGTTCGTCAGGCGCCCTGGGTAGTTCTTGTCACAAGATGCGTCGGAGATAATGCTGATGTTGGCACAATGCAACGTGTCTGGGAGACTCACTGGGGAGGACAGTGTACTTGGAGCAGATCCATAAATTCTGGCCCTTGTCCCCTCCGCCCAAGAGCCCTGGAGCATAGGATTCCTTGAGGCCTTGTATCCAGCTCCATTCTTTCACGCACCTTGTGACCGGGGGCTCCCTGTGGTCCCAGGCTCGTTGTGGGACACCAGGCCCCAGCCAGACACCACACAGGCCTCCCCCGGGTGGGGGCAACGCGTGGGTAGCACCACAGGGCGCACCTGGGGGGTCAGGCGTGCGGGCTGGACTAGACGAAGCAACATGATGTCATTGCGGTGGCTGCGCGCTTCGTAGCGCGGGTGTGGGATGACCCGAGATGCGGTCCGTAGTTGCTCTGGGCCATCGCGCTTGCGCAGGTTGTGCTCTCCCAGACGCACTCTCATGAAGCTGCGCGGGTGAATGGTTTTCCCGCCAGTTGGGGGCAGCCCAGTGGTTACCCACAAGTAGAGGACAGAAGCATCAAAGAGTGGGCAGGCCGAGGTCCCCAGACCCTTTTGGAATCTCGACATCCCATGACCTTTTCCTAAGAGCCTGAAGCCAATGGTTCCAGCCCCTGCTCCTCAAGGACCAAGGATTCTGAAGTCAGGCACACTCCTAGAACTTGACCCCCTTCAATTACTCCCAGCCCCCTCCTGGCCTCTCCCCAAATCCAGGATTCTCAGATCCCTAGAACTGAGGCTCAAAAGCTGGAACTAGTCTTCTTCCTCCTCCAGATATCTAAGGCTTTGAAACATACACTCCCTCTCACCCAGGGGCTTGACATCCAGCCTTTTTGTCCATTAGAACCTAGAAGTTCTGGCATCTATCTCTGTCTTCCCCCCAATTCTAGGAGCTCTTCCCCCAACCAGGCTCCCTCAGGACCCTGAGCCCTGCCTTCATACCGGCTTTGGCAGTGGGCCGCAGACAGCACCCAGTGTGGGGAGATGAGGGACGCGCCACAGTTAAAGCGACCACGCTCGTAGAGGGCCACTTGCCATGGCTGGGAGTGGGGTGCACACTCCTCACCTTCCAGCAACTTGTCGCCATCCTGAGCTGCTGGGAGAAGGGATAGAGGGTGCCTGAGGACAGGGACCTTTGCATTGCCTCCTACACCTTCCTTGCACCCTGCACTAACTACTATATGCCTATGCTTTCCCCTAACTTCTCAAGATACCCTGCCCTGTTTTTTTTTTTTGTTGTTGTTGTTGTTTGTTTGTTTTGAAACGGAGTCTCACTTTGTTGCCCAGGCTGGAGTGCAGTGGCACCATCTCACGTCACTGTAACCTCTGCCTCCCAGGTTCAAGTGATCCTCCTGCCTCAACCTCCTGAGTAGCTGGGATGACAAGCGCCCGTCACCACACCTGGCTAATTTTGGTATTTTTAGTAGAGGTGGGGTCGCACCATGTTGGCCAGGCTGG